AGCAGTTTCGCGAGTCCAGCCCCTCCAAACGACACCCGCTCACACGCCAATCCCAATGCGGCAGCGACATTCACCTCTACCACAACTCACAACCTCCCGATTCCCTGCGCCTGCCACGAATCTTTCTGCCTGCCACGAAATGCCACCTCCGTCACACATCGCAACCTCACGGTTCCTTGCGCCTGCCACGAAAATCCCACTTCCACACCTCAAAACCCGCACAAAGTCCTGCGCCTGCCACGAAAAGTAACAATGTCATCTCATGTGAGCTTCAACAAAATTTGCACCACACCACACGTTTGGAATGATTTCGACCCGTTCTGAGCACACTCCCATCCACCAAAATCGGCATTTCAGCTGAGACTTGTCACGAAAACAGAGCTTCGATGCCACACCCTGAAACGCAAATCCCAATGGCACGGCCACATCCAACACCCCAAAAACACGACTCTCCAAACGCTAATCCCAATGGAACTGCGTAGCAAACTGCGGATCTCACAAAACGCTGCGCCTGTGCAGCGAAACGCATCACGCGTCTTGTGCCACATCCCATTTTCATGCAAATCACAATGGAATAGCGGCGCAAACTGACACGTGACACATCCATGAAAAGTCACTTGCAAAAGCTTCCCCCAATGGCAGCGCCTTAGCGACCTACTGCGGATGGTTGCGAACGGTTGCGAACGGTTGCGAACATAGAAGCAACGGGTCGCGAACAAGACTCTACCCCCAGACCCCCAGAGTTAAACGAGAACCCTTCGCTACGCATTCGGGAAAAAGGGAGAGGGAGAGGGAGAGGGAGAGAGAGAGAGAGGCAAGGGGAGGAAGGCGGGGGTTAAGATCGCCTTCAAAGTACTTTGACCGCTGTGGTCACCTTGTGGCGTGCCAAAATGGCTGGCTGCTTTGACCGCTCCGGTCACCTCATGGCGTGTCCGAAGACTGCCTACTTGTATTCAATTCTTTCGTCAAGTCTTGGCGAATGACTTTGGCCTGAGCCTACTTTGTCCGCTGCAGACTACTCCGGTCCCGGGCGCAGGGACGACGGCAAACCTCCGTTCGACGGGTCCACAGGGGCCACTCTTCGGGGTCACCCTGGGCTCTCACGAGGGGAGACACACTTATTGAACCGCGCGCTGAACTGAATGCCGCATGCCACACGCCCACCTAGGTGTGAACGCCTAAGGGTTCAGGTTAGGTAGTAACTCAAGAACCATCCAAGGAACCTCCAAGGCCAAAACAGTTAACCCGCACACTTACTTATTGAATTGCGCGCTGAACTGAATGCCACATGCCACACGCCCGCCTAGGTGTGAACGCCTAAGGGTTCAGGTTAGGCAGCAACTCAAGAACCATCCAAGGAACCTTGAAGGCTAACGAACTTGACCTGCGGAAACGCGACAAGGTGACGACGGTCCGTGCATGACTGCAGAATGCATTAGGACTTGACGACACATCTTGTCAAATGTTAATATTCAAGCAGGTACGCAGAGCTGATCAGGCGCTGCTTCCCAGATGCAAGGTAGCTTTGTTAGGCGCAGTCCATTGCGTCTGCTGCGCCCCCCTGCTCACATTCCAACAGGAACCTTGTGACTCCAAAGGTTCCACGCACACATGCACGCACTTAGATATATAGCTCAACTGAATGAGCGTAAGGTTCTGAAGCTGGATCACGGATGCGTTAGCGCTTTAAGTTACTGCAATAGACCTTGACTTGATGGAACCGCAAGGCGACTTGTCGGCTAAACAGAAATGCTGAAACAACCTGAAGGACCTGGGAAGCAGCCTGGGCAAAGGGGAACCATTGGAGTCGTTGTGTTCGCGAGCAGGTACTGTACGTCAGTTCCGCGCCGGGAACTGATATCCTGGTCAGCTGCATGGAGCTTCGTTGGCGACTGCCATGCAGACCCTGTCGCCCCTGCTGTGTAAAGTTGATCAGAGCATCTCTTGGAAACAGAGGGTGGCGTGTAGGTCAGCGGCTTGGCAATGTAATGAGTGTTCCACGCCGCATAACTTGGACAATTGGCTCCTACCCATGAGAGAGACCGCTTCTTGTACTCGGCGAAGTCCAGCTTGTAGCCGTCAAGCCCCACCGCAGACTTGCTTGCGCGTCTCACAGAAACGCGCCTGTGGATTGAGCTTTGTGGGCGCAGGACGCTTCAGGGCCTTCAAGGCTCCTTTGGCCAGCGCGCGTGCTGCTGGCTTTTTCATAGTTCATCCACAGCACGTTCGGCGCAGTCAACGGAGATAGCGCGAAGGTCAGTTCAAATTTCAGGTCTCTTGTCTTGAGCAGAAAAAGCTCATAGAACTTGGTGGCCTGTCTTCCAAAATGATCTGTGTTCCAAAATGATCCAGTCTATGGTGGGCCATGAGCGCCCAAGAGGACAACTAGTCAGAAAGAAGCGCTTGCCCCCAGCAACAAAGCAAGACTTTTCCACTTCACCCAGCCAGTCAAAAGAAGCTCTTGCCTTCAGCAACAATCCGGACCCTTTGGCTTCGCCCCGCCTCCTTCTTCGCTTCGCCTTTTCTTCTTCGTCTTGCTGCCCTGCAGCCACTGTTCGCGCCTTTGCCCCAACATAAAAGTAGAAACTAAAAAATTAGTAGGTGTTAAGGGGCCCCCTCAAACAAAGGGGGGATCCTCTATACTAAACTACCGCCAAAACAAATCTGGGTTCCTAGGAGGATTCCTTTTGTAATTGATTGTAGTATTCATTTTCCTTTCTCTCTTTGTAGTAGTAGTAGTAGTAGTAGTAGTAGTTGTAGTAGTAGTAGTAGTAGTAGTAGTAGTAGTACTAGTAGTTGTAGTAGTAGTAGTCGTAGTCGTAGTCGTAGCAGTAGCAGTAGTAGTCGTAGTCGTAGTCGTAGCAGTAGCAGTAGCAGGAGGAAAAAAGAAGTAGGAGTAGTAGTAGTAGTAGTAGTAGTCGTAGTCGTAGTTGTAGTAGCAGTAGCAGTAGCAGTAGGAGTAGAAGTAGGAGTATGAGTAGCAGCAGCAGCAGCAGCAGTAGCCGTAGCAGTAGCAGTAGCAGTAGCAGCAGTAGTAGCAGCAGTAGTAGTAGTCGTAGTCGTAGTCGTAGTCGTAGTCGTCGTCGTCATCGTCGTCGTCGTCGTCGTAGTAGTAGTAGTCGTCGTAGTAGTAGTACTAGTAGTACTAGTAGTAGTAGTACTAGTAGTACTAGTAGTAGTAGTAGTAGTAGCAGTAGTAGCAGTAGGAGTAGTAGTAGTGGTAGTGGTAGTGATAGTAGTAGTAGTAGAAGAAGTAGTAGTAGTAGCAGTAGTGGTAGTGGTAGTGGTAGTAGTAGTAGTAGTAGTAGTAGTGGTAGTGGTAGTGGTAGTGGTAGTGGTAGTGGTAGTAGTAGTAGTAGTAGTACTAGTAGTAGTGGTAGTAGTAGTAGTAGTAGTGGTAGTAGCAGTAGTAGTAGTAAATACTAGTTATAAAAGGGCTTTGCACAATTGAGAACCCTTAAACCAAGTTCATTATTGAGGATCGCGGGCCTTCCTGGTCTACTACCTTGAAAATTTGTTCAGGAGCAATCTTTTCATAAAGGATTGCTTAGGGAATTGATGGTTTTGGGAAGCTGTCAGTTTTGAAGAAGAACTATGGAAACCTATTCTTATCAATACTCTCAGAAAGCCAACCATTGGCTTAGTAGTATTAAGAATTTGTATTTATTTTTTCCTGAAGGAAATAGACTTAACCCTAAATTTTAGCATTATAGAGGACCCTATTACTAATCAGCGTCCAACATTAGTAGTAGTAGCAGCAGCCGCAGTAGCAGCAGCAGCAGCGGAGGAGGAGGAGGAGCAGGAGGAGGAGGAGGAGTAGTAGTAGTAGTACTAGTACTAGTACTAGTACTAGTAGTTGTAGTAGTAGTCGTAGTCGTAGTCGTAGTCCTAGTCGTCGTCGTCGTCCGTCGTCGTCTTCGTCGTCGTCGTCGTAGTAGTAGTAGTAGTAGCAGCAGCAGCAGTAGTAGTAGGAGTAGGAGTAGCAGTAGCAGTAGGAGTAGGAGTAGGAGTAGTAGTAGTAGTAGTAGCAGTAGTAGTAGTAGTAGAAGGAGTAGGAGTAGGAGTAGGAGAGTAGGAGTAGGAGTAGGAGTAGGGGCAGTAGTAGTAGCTGTAGCGGAGGGGCAGGAGCAGGAGCAGGAGCAGCAGCAGTAGCAGGAGCAGGAGCAGGAGTAGTAGTAGTCGTCGTCGTCGTGGTCGTGGTCGTGGTCGTGGTCGTGGTCGTTGTAGTGGTATAGTGGTACTGGTAGTAGTAGTAGTAGTAGAAGAAGTAGTAGTAGTAGTCGTCGTAGTGGTGGTAGGAGTAGTAGTAGTAGTAGTGGTAGTAGTAGTAGTAGTAGCAGTAGTCGTAGTCGTAGTCGTAGTAGTAGTAGTAGTAGTAGTAGTAGTAGTAGTAGTAGTAGTAGT